TGTGCGTTTGGCATAAATTGAAATAATATAACTGTTACGCGCTTTTTATAGATTTAATTAAAAACATTATTTTTAAGTACGCAATTTTATTTAGTGTTTACTCTTACTACTCTGCTTAGAATAGCAAAGAATAGTTGCAGGCTTCTCTTTTACAGTGCGCCCACGCTAGACAAATTTGCGATACTTGTGTCATGTTATTACTACAACTTGGCCCATAAACAGGAGAAATAGTCTTGTTATTGATTTACAATAAAGCCACGCGATTTATACAAAATCAAAATGTTTAATAATAAAAATTAGTTAAAAATATAATTTTTATAATATTATTGAAGTAGTTGATTACATTATTCGACAAAAATTAAGACGGATTTTGTCCTAACGATGAAACCAACCTGGTCCGATCAATTTTTTCACGAAGAATCCAAATCTGTCTTAAAAATTGTCTTGGCACGACAAGTTCTTGAGAAAATAAAAACTTGGAAAACCCTCTAAAAACCCGCTATTTCAAAAATAAAAACAAAATTGTTCCCATAAAATAGTCATGATATTATATTTTTAGTGTAGATTACATTATATATGTAAATTTTATTTTGGAATTGTTTATGTTAAAATTTTTAATTATTTTTGATGGTCCTTTTTACTACGCAATAACAATATTTTATTGACATTTCGTAACCATTTGTTGTTTTTGGCTTGTTAATTTAGTGTTATTTTAATGAAGTCAAATATTTTTTTAACGCTGTAACAAAAGCAAATATTATATTAATAATATTATTCGATAATTTTAAACGCGCAAGTTTCATATTTTTTTCAAAGAATTAAACCTATAAAAATGACCGTTAGTGGTCACTTCAGAACTTCCCAGTTGCCATAGTTACTGTTGTGTAAACACGGCACTGGCAAATGTCTACCAGGTGCTCTTGGGTTTCTTCTTGGTTCAGTTCGAGTAAGGCTGTCCAACAGTCAACTCTCTACACTTATGAACCGTCTTTTACTTGTACCGTAATATGGGTAAGTATTATTTTTCAACTAAATATAATCCGCTTATTTTTATAAAGTGTTAACTTTTCGTTGGTTTTTAAATAAAATTGATAGTTGTTAAACAGTTCAATAATTTTTTGTATGAATTTTATTATACCAGTTAAATACCAAAATAAAATTATAAAAAACGTTAATTTTTTTTTGTAAAGCTTCTTAAAACTTTATGAAACCCGAGCTCTTGTTGTTAGGAAGCTTGGTGTAATACGAGTAGAAGGGGTGAGACTTTCATAGCCGAGATTTGCAAAAAAATAATAAACGATAGATGCTACTATTTTTAAGTCTTGAAAAAAATGTCTAAATAAAAACAAACGTATAACAAATAAAATCTGTTCAAAAAAGTCTACTGCAAATGATCGACAGAATTTGAAAAATTCAAATCATTTTTAGTTTTTAGAATTTCATAAATATTTTCACTTAGTTTTAACTTAAAAAAATTGTTCAGAAATGTATTAAAATTTAGATACATATATCTACAAACTATATCAAAAATAGTATTTATACGACTTAATTTAATATTGCTACAATATTAGTTTTTGTAAAAATTCGAATTTTCGTGTCTAAAAAAAGACACGAAAAAGTTCTCCTTGAGCATTTCCCTGCCTTCACAGAGTCTGCCTATTGTGTCTTTATCTGCCTCTCTTGTCTATGTTCTGGTTGTGCTAAAACATACAGTCTCCCACGTTTCTTTGCACCCAGTCCAACCATTTTCTTCGGCCTTGGCATCGTTTTCTTCTCAGTTTCATATCTTGTATACTCGTGTAACGAGGCTATTTTTGTTTCTGCCTACAGCGTAATTGAGTTTTTATTATTAGTGTCGCCTTTAAACTTTACCTGGTATATTAATTTATAATACTATAGTCTGGTGATTCCGGCCTTTGCTGCCTTATTTGCTATCCAGCATTCAGCGTCATTGCAGCTGTTTTATAGATTTTTTGTTCGATGCCAGCACGTAGAAATCCTATGTTATCTCGAATTCAACATACCCCATTATTTTGTACTGTTAGTCATAGTTATTTAAACTTGTGCACTACCTTTATTTCATTGTATTCTAGACTAAGCCTTTCGTTCCGCAAATAAATTCCAAAATGGCATTACCACGATGTCGTTATAAAACCATTTTAAATAAAATTAAATATAACATTATTTTTAATGCCAAATACCACCAAAATAATAACATAGATTGAATTTTATTATTTTTTTTTGTGTGGAAATATTTTTTTTTTAAAACTTAAATTCATTGTATTACTTCTTATGCATGAAGTCTAAATTGACGTTTTCTCTTTTAGTAATAGCGCCGTTTTATTAACACGTTTCGTGGGTTTTATCTGTTTTAATATTATAAGTACTATATTGATGAATACATGACGTAGATATGAATTTAATAACGTTGATGGACTTTCGTAATTTTCGAAAACAATAAGCCGTCTACACTTGTATAGAGCATACACGAGGGGCAATGGCATGACATTGGTTTTTACTGGATCAATAGGGAAAAGGGAAGTGTCCCCTAGCAGGGTAAAAGGGGTTGGTGGTTGGCGCCAGTCTGCCGTCTGCTACCGGTATCATGCATGCTAGTGAACTCAAGGTGAATGAAACGACCCTTAATCTAATCAGCCATTAACTCGCTACTGTCGGTTTATTATACAATATGCTAACCTTGCTAAAATTATTACCTACGTGGAAAAAAATTAAAACTTAAGTAATTTGATTTTTTTATTGAGTTCAATACACCCGAGAATAGATTTCTCAGCGACTAGCGTGGTAGTACGGTAGGCGAGTTAATGCCGGATTGTATAACACTTTTTAAATTAAGATAGGTTTTTATTCAAAACAAATATATTTTAATGTTTTTTTTTTCAATAGCTTTTCATCCTCTTTTATTTTAAATTTGTTTTAAACTGACCAGTAATTATTTTTAGCTTCGATATATATATATATATATATATATATATATATATATATATATATATATATATATATATATATATATATATATATATACTAGACTATTGCATATCCCCACTTTATTACATTATAAATTCACAAAATGGCAGCGTAAGGGTACATTATTATTTTTTATTTATAATAATATAAATAATACCTTTATGAAATAAATTAATTTGATTGGTTGACCCTTACGCTGCCATTTTATTTTTATCGTCGAAAATTTTGATGGAGAAGGGGTAGAAATGCAATAACCTAGTATATTTAAGCCATGGGTTTTATAATGATGCGTCTTTTTTTTCTGAAGTCACGATACCCTTTTTTTTCTGAGGATCAATTACTCGAGTAGCAGCAACTCAATTGATCCATAATCGTATGCAATTGCTACTTTGGCGGGTCAAAAGTAGAAAATGTCAACTCTTTTTCCCCCAAAACCGGGAAAAACATTGACCGGTATTTCAAGCTTAAACTTCGAAATTTTTATTGAATATTAATTATTAGGCATGGTGGTTTAATAAAATCTAAACTATTTTTGTTTGTACTCGTAAGTTAATTAAAAAAAATTACTATATAGAAACTGAATATCATATTTGAATTGAGTTTCTAGAAAAGTTTTTGTTTAAAAAATATCGAAGTATACTTGTTTCTTTATAATATTGCTGCTAATGAGAGTACTCCATTTAACATTAATGATCTGACGCCATAGTTGCGCGCACGGGTGTGGCTTATTGGGCTATAGCCACACCTGATGATTTTTGAAGGCAGGTGCCTAAAAATAGACCAAAAAGTTATTGCTCGCAAAAAAATAATACATTCAGCATAAATATATTTTTTTTATCAATTTTATGATAAAATTAAAAAATTAGTTTTTTTCTTGAAATCATGCAATGTCTCGGAGTTTGACCTAAAAAACATACCCCAGTCGCCGCCTCGGTCAACATATAGTAGACAAATTTAGTACTCCACTTATTTCAACGGCTCATAGTTTTAACTGGCGATAATCGATTACTTTTAATCAAATGGTATACTTGGTTTTAATTTTGGTCTATTTTTAAGATGGATATTTGTTATTTTTCCCAGAACGGCTAATGGGTTGCGACGCCATTATTTATTTGTAGTTAAATATTGTGTCATTACTTTTAACATTTATAGTGGTATAGATTATAAAATTATAAATATTATTTTTTAATAAAATAATGTAATGTAAATGATTTAAAATACATATTTAAATTTTCTTCTTATGTTTTGTTTAATCATCCTTTGTATGTATATTTTTTTTTTTGTTTGTGTGCAGGGGTTGGGTAGTGAAAAAAATAGCCATTTATGCTTCAGAAATTTGTGCACGCCTATATATGATCCATTAACTTTTTAAAAACAGAATATTAAATTACAGTAAATTCTATAGTAAGAGAATATAAATTGTTTTGTCTTGCTTATCAGTGTTTAATTATATTGAAGGAAACTCATTTTAAGTGGTAAATTACAGCATTAGTCATGTGAGAAAATTATTTTTCAGTAATGTTACAATTTTTATGAAAGTTATTCACCGTCATTATAATGTTATTTATGTGAAAAGGGCAAAGGTTATTAAACTTGTAATTTATTGATAAGTTTTAATCGATATAGTATTGGTTATTTAGTAAAAAAAGTTTTTATGGTATGATGTAATGCGGATAATTACTACGTTTAGGTTAGGTCTGGAACGGTAAATTTGATGACTGGTAAAATATTTTTGATGTGTGTAGATTACTTCTTCTGTTGAATTTTGATCGGAGTATTCTAAAAGAGAACAAAAGAAGTTTGAACATTTTAACCTCATTTTTTTGCAAATGCTGTCGGATTTGTTGTTTTTTGTATTATCATATTAGGTGGTAGGCAGAGACTTATAATTGTTGACCGACCAAAGTACTCTTTGCCTAATATTTTTTCTATAAATTACTAAAAACATTCTAACCCTTACCATCCACATCCATTTATTTCTCATAGTTAACTTCTATGTATTATTTTATTTTTAGACATGAAGAGATTCAATGATGGTCATTCAAATGCCCCATTCAAGAGACCTAAGATGGGACCTGATGACATCGAATTAAGAGTTCTCATTCCAAGCAAGGTTCATTATTTTCATTTAAAATAATAATGATTATTTTAATTATACAACTGTTTCCGTAGCATGGTTTGGCACAGTAGTCAGCCGCAGTTGCTATTCAGAACTGTGGTTAAGCTGTGTCCAGAATCACTAGTTCCAAACTTAATTATATCCCCAAAAAATTATTTATAACCTGCTCTAACAACCTTAGTTATTGAAGCAGTAAAAAAAATGTCTTCAACAATTTATTTTGTTTAATTTAGGTCGCTGGATCAATTATTGGTAAAGGTGGATTCAATATATCCAGACTACGGACTGATGTAAGTATTGTTTAGTGCTATGTACTTGAAAAAAGATACTAAATCATATGTAAATATATATATCGTAACTAATAAAACATAAATCAGGGAAAAATAGGCCTACTCTTATTTTATATTGTAACAATAATTTTTCTCAATTACTAGTATAATAATAATTATATTATGACAATTGTAAGCTAGTAATAGGTGTAAAATGTACATAAATTAATTTTATACCAAAATTTCCCAATTATTTAATTGGGTTTTAGTTTAGAATATAGCTGGAAATATGTATTATTAAGGTAAGTAGGCCTATTTGAAAAATTCCCTCCCAGAACATATTATTTTGATTGAAAAAAAACTGGGAAGTTGAAATAATAATCATATATAGTTGCTATGTAACTTAACCAAAAACAGGACTGATCTTGAAAATTTGTTATGTGTTCTATGCCCATATGCCCTGCCCCTCGATGTGATTTAATCACATGTCCCGTGATACCCTGGGCCCCTCTGCATATACCACGAATATGCCCTGAACCACATCGACGAATACAACCTGCGAACAATAATGGATACCTGATGCTGTCCATCTAACAGTACAATGCCACAGTCACTGTCCCAGATTGCCCGGGTCCTGAACGGTAAATCATCCATCATCAATCTCTCATATACTTAAATTTTCTTTTATGCATAACTTTTGTTTTCTTTAGTAGATTCAGATTATGTAATTATAACCGATTTGTTGTAAAATTGTTCAATGAACTGAAAGCCTCATTAAAGTTGAGAATTGTTTACAAAACACGAAAATTCACCTCGTTTAAATCCTTTGACCTCGGGGGCTTGCAGTTCATTTTATTTTTCATATGTTCACTTTTGGGTTAGTTTAAGGATAGTTAGATGTTTTTGAAATCTATTTCCCATTAGGACGGCTCTAAATTGTTTTCTAGATTAAATCATTAAGTCCAATAAACATTTAATATTACTCTACAACATAAACATAGAAATCAAAATATGATTAAAATGAAAAACTGTAGCCTATATTGCTGCTTTCCATTTGTCCTGCAACTCTCAGATTATCAGAAGTGAATACTTTCTTTTTTATTTTACAAGTTGATTGGAAAATTGCTAAGAGTAGGCTGATTTAAAATTACATTTTGAAAAATATCATCTTTAAAAATAAACATGGTTTTGGCAGTTAAAACATTTTCTTGAATGACTAATTCAATGAAAAGTGAAAACAATTAATTTCAACAGTTTATTTTTATAGAACACTGTTTTTTTTTTAGTAAATTTGATTTAATAGTTTTAAATATTTATTTATGTATATTAACTACTATTTTTTTTGTTTTATTCTTATTTTACATTCATGTATTTATCAACTAAAAAATTAAAAATAGCTAATATACTTTTTTAATGAATTATTGTTATCTGTTCCTTGCAGCTTAGAGACAGCTTCTCTGACTTTGTTTGAACATTTTAAGAATCTCTAATTTTATTAAATTATTAGTTTGTTAATACTTTGACTACTTTTTTAATTTTTACTTTGACTAGTCAAAATTTAATAAGTATATGAAATAAACTTTTTGTATGTCACTAGTTGAATTTTTCTTGTAAACAAGTGAGAGAAGTTAATGAAGAATATCAATATTTTAGACATAACAAAAATTTAAACTAATTAAGTAAAATAAAAATCTTAATAATCAAGTGTTATATATTATATGACATAACGGCCTAATTCTAGTTTACAAAATCAGCCAATTCTTAGAAAATTTGCTTTCTTTTGATCGTTTTCATTATTGTGTTGAGATGTAAGGTATAATAATGAATTACATGCCTTGTTTATTAGAATTCTAACGATCATATCAAGTAATGAGAATGCTCTTAAAGTCTTGGGTGAGGTCATGTGCAATTTAGAAGATGGTGGATCTGTAAGTGATTTTATAGACTACTTGGTTAGTTTTGGGTTTTATATTTGCAATTTATTGTTTATGTTAGCGTTTTAAACGTGGAGCAGCTGGCGGTGGTCAAGGAAACAATGACAATCAAGGAGAAACTGACGTTGATGTCAGAATGTTAGTACACCAAAGTCAAGCTGGATGCATTATTGGAAAAGGAGGTTTAAAAGTCAAAGAACTTCGAGAAGTAAGTAAAAGTTACTATTTAGTATTATATGTATAAAACAAAATGTTTTACATTTTTTATTAGAAAACTGGATCACGCATCAAGATTTACACTAGTTGTTGCCCCATGAGTACTGACCGGGTTGTGCAAATCACTGGAAAACCCAATACGTGTTCTGACTGTGTTCGAGAAGTATTGGATTTATTGAAAACTGTTAGTATTCCTCTAAAAATGACTTAATTTATTTATTTTTTATGAATTTAATGTATATATTTTTTTTAAGGCACCAGTAAAAGGAGCAGAAGACCCATATGACCCTAACAACTACGATGAATATTATTCTGACGAATACGGTGGTTATGGAAATCCTGCTGGTGGTGGTGGTGGTGGTGGAGGAGGAGGAATGCGAGGTGGAAATATGAATCGTGGACCTCCTGGACCACCAGGCAGGTTCCAGAGTGGAGGTGGTCCCATGAATAATCGTGGAATGTAAGAATTTCGTATCAATAAATATTTTTGTTTTGTAACTGTGTTTCACTTGAAATGTTTCCCACATTACTATGGATTTATGTTTTCACAGGGGCGGCGGCGGACGTGGAGGTGGTGGATTTGGCGGCGGTTTTGGTAATGCAGGTGGTGGAAATTATGGAGGGAATGCTGGAGGATATGGAGGTGGACCCGGTGGATATGGCAACAATGTTGGAGCTGGTAACTTTGGAGCCGGTGGCGGTTATGGTGGTAAGAAATGTTCATAGTTTGTAGTTTTCTCAAAATTAAAAAAAATATTGTCTTATATTCTATAACTCTAACAACATTTTTATTACAAGTGTAGACATAGGACATAATATAAAATATTTAATATTTTTGAAGTAGCTAATTCATCAAATATCTTAGTGTAATAGGAATATTGGTTTAATAACATCTGAAGGAGTAAGGTTAATAATTAACTTTACTGTATTTATATATTTTATATAATTTGGTATTTTTATTTTTTACCTGTTAATTTTTATATTATTTTATTAAAATATTTTAAAACCAATGTCACATAGTAATATTAAATATAGGCATATACCTATTATTTTATTAATTTTATTTTTATTTAATATTTTATAAGGTGGCTTTGATGATGGTCCCATGAATGATTTTAGTATGCCTCCTCCAGCTATGGGTGGTGGAGCCGGAAAACCTGCTGCCTTTAATGGTTCGACGCAAGTCACTATTCCGAAAGATGTAAGTGACAGTTTTTGCGTTAAGGAGTTATGCACAAGGCTTGCGTACCGAAAAGCACAAAATAAATTTACATTTCCTGTAATTTAATAGGTTTTAAAAAGAAACTATAGCTATTTTTTATTTTGGCGAATTTATCAAGAAAAATTAGAAGATGTTATACAATTGAGGTAAATTTAACCCCAAAATTTTAAACATTTGAATATTCCGGGTAGCAGAGAAAAAAAACTAAATTAAAGGTTTTACAACGTTTTTTATACTATTAATTTAGGTGGTTTGACAGCTTTTTTTAATGTTATTTGATGTCTTATTGTGTCAATTGTTTCGGTACGTTTGTCTTTAGTAGTTCCAATTTAGCGACTAAAACTGTTGCTTCCATTATTTTTTCGGTACGCGATCCCTTGTGTGCTCCTTTTAAATTTCTTTATGACTATTCTTCAATTATACGGTATTCTTTTAAAATAAATATCGTAATATTTATGAAATAAATAATTTGGTGAATTTATGTACAACCATTAATTATAAATACAATAGAAAGTCTACTGGCCGTTTTTTTTGCTGCCCATAAATTCAGTTTTATTTTTTATATGACGAGTTACATAGGGAGTGCTGAATGTCAACGCGCAATACGGTCATGATGGGCCAGTGTGGTTGTACTATGCATGCGCCGCATTAACTAAAAACACTGTAATTTATGTATGGCCAAAAAAACCGGCCAGTGGGCTCTATCTATTGTATTTATAATCAATGGTATAACTAACTTTTTTTAATTTAGAGGATTCAAAGTGTGTTTTTGTATCTAGTACAAACATAAGTTTATATAGACACATTTTAGTGCCACCAGAAAATACTTTCACTTAAAATTCTATCTAAATTTATTACATATTTTTAATATTAGCCTTCTGAATGAATAATATAACTTTTTAGTAATATTGATAGCACTAATTTAAATAACATAGTGTCTGTTGCTAAGTAAATTAAAATGATTATTGCTATAGGATTTAAATTTGTAATAAAACAATAGTAATTATGTTATATTATATATTAGAATTTAATTCTGTAAATTTCTTGTTGAGAGAATTAGGGCTTTTAAAAATTGCTCCTATGAGTAGTTAAAATATGCATTAGCTGTGAATATTGACAGATAATCATTACAACCAAGCGTGCGTTAAAAAAAAACTAGTTTATAAACAAATTATCATAGAACAGCAAAAATAATTTATTATATTTGTAAATTGGGCTACTAAAGCCAATATTTAATTTCATGAACATTAATTTTCTCATGTATCGTTAAATATACTATGCATAATAAACGCTATCTAACATACAACCTATTATTTTGAATATTATCTTTTACTTGCTACTTTATTTTAACTTCTGTTTATCTTCTTTGTAGAGCAAAGTACATATTCTTAATGGATCTTCATATTTTAAAGATAATACAAATTATTTTAAATTGTATTGTTATTATTTCATTTACAAAATTTTGACATTTAATTTAGTAATAATTATATTTTTAAGCTCGCGGGCGCAATAATCGGCAAAGCAGGCGCTAGAATTCGCCGTATTCGCCAAGATTCAGGAGCCGGAATCACAATTGGCGAACCAACTGAAGGCTCAGATGAACGAATAATCACTATTAATGGCACTGACAGTCAAATACAGATGGCACAATATCTATTGCAGCAGTGGTAAGTTTTACATATGAGTTGAATGTATTTTTTTTTTAAACTAATATAATTGTATATGAAGCGCGCTATCAGCTAACATTGGGTACTGAGCTACAAGATAACGTTAACTACCATATGGAAGACTAGTGATTTTGTTGTTTTAATATAATTCTTTCTAACAAGAAGTCTCTAGTCTTCTTATGGCAGTATCGACTAACAGCATGTATAAGCTATAACTGCTTTTATATTATATTCAACAACCATCATCTAGCGATATGGACTTATTTATAAGATGTTGTCGTGGTATTATCAAGGAAATTATTCTACCACATAAAAATCTGTTATCTTCTTTTGACTATGTATATAATGTAATCATTTACAGTCAAATCTATCTAACCGGCTCTAAATTATTTTAACTAACCTGTTTCTTTTGTATAGTTTGGTAGGTAACATATGTAATTATTTTTGTTTATATTGTTAAATGTTATTATTTTTATATTTGGTGAAAAAGTATTAAACATGAACAATTAAAAATGTTAATAACTAAATAGTTCTAAATAATATTACTGTAACAATTGTTTATGGTATGGAACAAATGTCTCATGCCATCAAAATTTTACATGAATTTATAGTAAAGTCATGTTTGATTTTGACTTTTAGTGTTCAAGCCCAGAAGCCTGGAGGACCTGGTGGAGATGGTTTCATGTAAGACATCTTGTTCATTACTGTTCAATAATGATTCAAATCATACTCTACTCCATTCACACTACATATAGTAAATAATTAGTAACCCATTCGTGTGTATTCATATATGCTAAAACCTCTAAAAGTTAATTTGTCGTTTTAATACCACTGAGTAGAAATTGAAGCAAAACTCTACAATTGTTGTTTTTACTGCTGGTTTTCAGTTAATTGTGCTTAGATTTACATTTCAAAACTTTTTTTTTGTAAATATATGACATTTATATTCAGTACGTATTCCTCTTTTTTAATTGCTAGATATTAAGATTTTTTAATATTTACTATACTGCAAGAAACGTAGCCGTACATTTTTTTTTATTAAACACTTAGCTATAAGATTTTTTTTCGTAGAACTCGTTTATATGACGTATATAAATATACATAATGAGTCTATATATGTTTTTATATAGAAAACTGTATATATATACAAAACAATAACAACATTTTTAATATAATAATATTATATATGTAAAAGCCTAATTTATTAGGTTATATTTACTTGAATAACTAATTTATAATAAGTAAGTAGACCTATAATTTAATGTGGATGAATGTATTTTGTGACAGTGTGTAGCAATTCCTGTTTTAAATTAAACAGTTTTATGATCCTTAATTTGTTTTTTTTTTTTACAAATCAAAATTTGTCAAGCTTCATATTATTTAAATAAAAATTACTTTATTTGAAATAAAACCCCACAATTGAGGCGCATAGCACCAAAACAGCTAACCCACAAAAAATTTAATTTTAGCTTTGATGCCGGAGCTGAAAAGGTTCTTGTAGCCACTCATCAAATATCGTACCTAAAAGGTATTTTATTAGGCAAAAAATGTAAAAAGCACCCTTTCCCCTTCAAAAATGAGAAACAACCTAAAAATGTTTACATATTTCTAAACTTAAAATTAGGTACTCAATAACTTCTTGAAAATTCGTCCAATTAGTTCCAAATTTGTGTGAAATATCTTTAGACATAGTACTAACTACTACCGATAAAGGTTAGTGTAATATTTCCTTTTTTTTTAATGAAAACAAAGTTTGGCTACAGATTATTGAGAAAATTGTTTATGTTATAACTTTGTTCTAGATTTACATTTAGTCTAATTTTCAGGGTAAGTCCTATAATTTCGCTTGAAAGAGAGAAAGGAAAAGTTCCCCTCTTCTAGGGGATAGGACACATGATATATTGTGGTTTGTCAACATTTATCTTTATCCATAGAAATCAATTAAATTTCATACAAATTTAGAACTTCTTTGACTTTTAAAAAAAAAATTATTGCGAGCAATAATGTTTATATTACGTGCCCTAAATGGTCGTTATTTTTCATTATATTTTAGTTCCAAAAAGTAAACTTCAATAAATAATTTAAATTTTTATACAAAAACTAATTTTAAATAGAATTGACAGAAAACCAATATTATTTTTACAAAATATTATATTAAATATAGAAGTATGTAATAATACTTTAATGTTTTTATCATGCAAGTTTTGATATTATCCTATAGAAGATAAAGTTAAATATAGTATTATTACTATATATGTATACCTATAATAATTTTCACCAGCCTTTTTTTTTGAGATTTGGGGGGGCCATTGCTCCCATGCCCCTCCCCTTGTATCAGCGCCTACTCGAGTATAGGTAAATTAATTAATTGTAAAATGTAATAGTTAAATATATAAAATAGATTGATCGATAGATAAATACAAATAAAATTAGAAAACGGAATAAAAAAGTTAAAAATTGCTTTATTTTGACAGTTCAGTCTCAACTTTGAAAATATGATACCTATACAATTATAAATATACATTATACATGTAATATAACAAAACCACCCTGACGACATAAATCTCTAAGATGGATGTATAAGATGACCTGGTTAGTTTTATAAAATGAGAACATATTATGTTAAGAAAGGTTGGCTGTCGAATGAAATATTAATCGTGAGTAAGAATTTGAAAACGGGAACAGCCATTGATTATACAACTGTCTTCACCAACCGGATTATCAATAAAATAGTATAAAATATAACTGTAAGAGCTGTAACAAATTGATGGTAATTTAAAAAAAAACTATTGCAATAAAATATAAGGTTTTGCTATTAAAAAAAAGTGTAATACCTAATAAATAATAGTATTTACCGAAAGATAATAATTTTATGGCTTAAAGCTGGATAACCATTGATCATGCACGTAATTCTACAATGTCAACAAAACATTCTCGCGATCTAATAATTCTTTTAAATATGTTATCAACCGAATTTTTCCCTAGCAGTTTTTTTCCGTTATCTTAAAAATATAAAATAAATATTTGATAAGGTCGCCAGGCTTGAATTTGTCAAATCTTCAACCCTTTGCCAATTGCCCTACCCCTTACGCAACCGTGTACATTCCTGAAGTTTGCGGTTTTATGATCAAGGGATACCTATCTTTAAACCATACAATTTGTATCCTTCGGTAAATTCTATAGGACAAGTGTTTCATATCTCTTAACTACTCATTCTCATATTCTCATCAATGCCCAACCCTAGAAACAAAATATCTAATATTAGTTGTTACGACTTACGCATGAACAAAATAATAAAGACACATATTTTAAAATGTGTTAAAACTTTCATGGGTTGAGTTATTAGTTTGTCACAGTGGTGTATTTACAATTTTCTTCTGGGAGTGATATGCAACATACAAATTTCCTCGTAACTTCCTTATGTAAATCTTGCGCTTATGAACGTTTTTTTTTTTGAGAGACATTTCGTTAAAAAACTTGTACGTTAACATGAAGAGTTTTCTTTCAGTTAGATTATTAAAAATATATATTTTTTTAAATAATTACTCTAAGGGATCATCCTGATCACCTCATGTAAATAAACCACCCATCAAACTAAGTTTGATAATTTTCTATCTAAAATGATTAGGTATTTGTTCGTAGGTACCTATTAGAATAATTGGTTGTGTATATTATGACGTGTTGAGTAGCCAATTGCAAATACTCTAGTTTGTAGCTTGTAAGTAGGCAAAAGCTTAAAAACGTTAATCCATTCATTGCCCTAAATAGCGATGTACTAATGTCATTTCTTTTTTATAGACTTTCTGAATTACAACAACTTTAATAAAGACTAATGAAAGTTAAAAGAAAAAAATGATTTTAATTTCCTGGAGAAATAAAAGTATTTTCTATTTAAACTAATCACATACTATCGATTTCGGATTTTCAAATGTGAGTTGACAGTTTAGGTAGGTACATGTACACTCGGCTAAGCTTTCAGAATGTGAATTGTTTATTTTAACTGTCACGTGTACCCAATATTGGGAGTGTGCATAGAACATTTAGGACTCGGTTATTAACCCTTCATTATTGATGATAACATTATGTTTTGCCGGGTTGCGAACGCGTATTATTATATTATAATCCTGTGAAGTTATTGAATGTTTTTTATTATGCTTTTTGGGGTGCGCTGTAATAGGGCGGTCGCCAAAATTAATGGGGTTACTCTGTAGACAATATTGGTGGACGACGACGGCGGCCGCTAAAAGCCAACTGCAATGCGCTATATTAGGCGGACGCGTGTCGCCCATTGATGTTTCGTTTAATGTTATCGCGTACAGGTAATCAAATTAACTGGGTCCACTCGTCCTGTCGCGCATTACTATTTGTATATTATTTTCATTACAAGGAAAAGACCGGAAAACCGTGAGCGACCCCGCGACCCTTGGACATATAATTTAATAACGCCGCCACCACTGTCGTTGCTGTATAGTACTTAATTGCAATAGGGCAAAACATGCGAATTACAATACTCGGGTCCAAAAAGTCAATAGCGTCGGTCGGCTGGATTGTCGATTTTATAAACGCTATAGGCGTAATAATTGTGTTTGATTTTTAGTTAAACGCGCACGTGCTTTTGACAACGCTTCGAGCTTAAGTGACGAATTGGCAAAACGGTTATAAGGAGACACCCCCGAGTCCCGCATACATGTACCAGTGGCCTTGGCAGTGTCGCAGTAGTTAAAACCTATTCTACATGAAAGCTCGTCGCCATGTATGTTCCACCCTAATAATGCAAAAATTGCAATGCCGCCGTGCAAATACTAACACAAGTACAAGGGCAGTGTTGGCGCATGCAAATTACAAACGCAAAGCATCTTAACTTGATTTGTTTTACTTGTTAATTTTTTTACACACATAATCTGACATACAATCATCACATAATCTTTTTTACACAGTTAATCTGCGAAACTCCAATCACACACCCTTTACGTCAGTTCGGTAAATGGATTTCTCTATTTTTTTTAAGTGCTTTACCAATACATTTTTTTTGTGTAATGCTATTTTAAAAAGTAAATTGCTTACTAATAACTTTCTAGTTGTCATCTTCACATTCGACAAAAAGCATTTATATAATTTAATAAAAAGCCATCATCACCTTTGGTATGTTATTTTTAGTAAAGCAAAAATAAATATAAATTTTGACTAATAAATATTAGTCAAATTCATAAGAAATGTTTATGAATCATAAAAATACAATTTAGAGAAATATGAAATTACATTTATTGCTATATTGTTATAATATAATATTGTGAAATTAAAAATTCGCTTTTCTTGCTCTTTTTGATGCGACGTTTTGTACAAGTCTTGCAAGTTCATTTCCTGTGCCACTTGTAAATATTTTGTTAAAAAATTGACTCTATAAAACCACTTAAAAAGTCAAATGAGGAAAATGTAGACGTATTTTAAAAAACCAGTACAGTCGGGTCGGAGCATAGTGGGGACGGAGCATAGTTGGGTCGGGGCATAGTGGGGACGGGGAGGTCACAGGTTTACAGGAATTTTTAAATCTGAAAGTGATAAAATCACTTTCAAAAAAACGCTTCGATGCAAATCGGTAGTTACTATTTTCAAGCCAGTACAGTCCAAACCAAGCACAGTATTAACCAGCAAAGTTAGAAAGTTTTAAATTAAGGTTCTGTATTTACAAATGAGTATCAAAGCGTTAATTTGAAAGTGATTTTATCCGAGAGAACTAGTACAGTAGAGTATAGGCATAATGTAATCAAAGCAATAAGGAAACGGAGAGGTCACAGGTCTACAGGAATTATTATAAATAAAAGTGATAAAATTGAATAAACTATTGAAAATAACGAGATAACGACAGTGGTTTTGTGGTATCAGAATCATTAAGTAAACGGATAGGGTTTTTCCCAATAAATCGTGTGTCTACTATAATCAGTTACACGATTTAGTCGTCTGTGATATCATGTAATAAACACAATATTATGATACTGGCCATTGGGCCCTAACCTAACCTAACACGGATAAACTACCAACTGATAGTCATCTGGTACACCGGGTTTTTAGTAAAAAAAAAAAAAAAATTGAATTTGTGTAAACTTAAAGTCAAAAGTGGTACTTGAGCACAAAACTTAATAGTATCATTCTGCATAGTTATACATAAAATTGTTTTAAAGATTTGATAAATTTTTTTTAAAGATTTTAGGTGTTTTTGTTAAAATATACGCAATCTGCGAAAACACAGTTTTCCGGCAATTAAAAAAAAACTGTAGTGCCGAATTTTTTTTCCGTTTAATATGTTAAGGATACATATGTGTTCCAACTACTGGCAAATTTTCAACCCAAAGGTCTTAAAATTACGGCTAAAAACCCCGAAAAACAAAAAAACTTGTACCCCCCCTAGGGGGGTGGGAAATGGGTATAGTTTAAATTTGACACAACTGACGAGTGCGGGCATACCAAATAATTATTCCTTATACATTTCAACTCGATCCCACTCTTTTTCTAGGAATTATAGCCAGTAAAAGTTCTAACTTAAAAACTCGTACGGTTTTTTTTATGTTTTTTCAAATTTCGTCTATGAAGAAGTAAACTTTTTCAACTTTATTTAAAATTTTGTCTGAGAGCTTTTAACTCTTAGATGTTATGTACAGTTAAAAGAAAAAAATGTTTTTTGAGGAACCCTGTACGTCTTGTTACAACTAAAAATTGTTGGGGTTATATTATATTATTTTTTAACCCTTTAAAATCAGATGGAAAAGGAGTGTACCGATGAAACCTGTTGGATTGTATGGTATATTTTTAGGGGAGACATACTATTGACGCGCAGTAGTCAGTAGTGGTGATATAAAATCGGTCAACCCTGGCAACTATGCTTGATTGTTGAGCCAAATGTAAATTCCGCCCCCTTTTAAAACCTTTACTGCTCGGAAACATGTAATTATACATTACAGCATCGTAAATGTACAAAGGACACGGCTATAAATGTGAAAAATGAAGTTTTAAGATCAAAGTTGGATAAGGCAAGTTACAACAGCATAATATGGTGCTAGGAGAAAATTGAATAATAATCTCAACTGCCTCAAATGGCAAAGTAATAATGGACATATTTTTAAGATTTTTACATTTATCCTAGTCCCATCACTCCCACTGCTTAAAATTTGTAATTTTTTAAAACTATACCTATTTATTATAATTTAGATTATAACAGAATATATGTGTGGTTTTGAATTTTGTTTTACCCAGTACATTTCGCCGTATATAATTTATTAATTTATATTATAATATCATTATAGACTTCGGATGTAAATTTAAACTATTAATCATAAAAGCAATTAAATAGGAGTGTTTGATATTTTGGAAAAATGACATTTAAAAATTCAAAAAACTATACACCTTTGTTATGCAAATAACGTGTTATTTATTCCACAATATCTCTTATTATGGCACAAATAGTTGTATAATATTAAATGCTGAAGTTTTGTTTAATTTTGGAAGACGAACCATTTTTATTTAAGGTTATAGTTTTAATAGGTATATAAAGTCAAAATTAATTTTCGCGTATAACTAGCAATTATAATAGGTATATTACTTAATGTTAATAATGATTGATAGATCATTATATATTACTACAAATTCATTACAATTTATATGTATAAAATATAGTCTATACGTAGTAAAAAATGGAGTATTATGTAAAATCGTAAGGACAGTAAGGTATGTGGCCTGCTTTTTACTTATAAACTTGCTATAGGTACCTACTGAAAAAGGGATTGCGCTTTAAAGGCTGATTAGGTTTTGATCCATGTAAATATATTTACACAGATAGAAAACTTTCTACAGTCTGCAATGATTTTGATTTTCAATGTCTATGTGTCATAATATAAGTGTTTGAACTTTGAGCATTATAAACAAATCTTCAAATCTTAAATTATTGTCATTTGGTAATTAAATAAAAAAATCAAAGGTCAGTGGAGAATGTAGCAAGTAAAAAAAAAATTATATATCAAAATGTGATCAGCCTATGAGATATTATATTTTCGATAAGTTATATTTCCCCTGCAAAATGTGTAGGTACAGCTTGTATAAAAAACAAGTTAACCCATTTATGCCCAAGGTTATATATACTAGTTTGATATAAAGTTGAACAAGGTTGATACAGTCATTAAAACAGTTACCAGCCTGGTGCTCTACATATAGGACGCTGGGCGTAAATGGGATATGTTAAAAATGAATTGTAAAAGTTAATCAAAATTAACCTGAAAACAAGTTGACATTCCACAGTTAATTTATTTATTCAAAATGTATTATCAAATATTGCCTATATTTGATCCCTAGACAAATAGTCACGCGCGGGTCGTCTAAATGACGGAAAAGCATTTATTTAACATCATAATAATACAATAGATACGAGAAAGCAGGTGCTATTAAGACACGTAAAAACAGATAATATGGTAGTCTTATAATAGTATTTTTAATAGTTGCATCTCGAGTTTCAACTGTGATAGGGTTCGAGTTCAACTTATACCATATTACCAACAAATAATCAACATAGTATTTTATTTTTTATAAATTAATGTACGGTATTTATAAAGAAAACGGAATGCATAAAGAAAAGGCGAACAAATCGTTTAGTACAATTTCAAAAAAATCTCTGTTGTTCATAACTGTTCCGTTGGACGCCACTATTACCACTGTTCCCGCTGCCTATTATCACATTTTCCGAGTTGTCGCCAACGATATCGATAATGTCTTCGTCGTCGTCATCGTCCACACACCGGCCGGCGTCTTCGTCGTCGTCCACGTCTATGTCGTCGTCCACCTCGGACATCTCGCCAAGATCGTACCGCTGTTGTATGCAGCTGTTGGCGGCCAACATCGGTTCGCCGACTGCCCCCCTGACACTTCGGTGTCTTTCGCCTTGGACACCGACGTCTGTCGTTGTAGTGCCGCCGTGGGCCAAACTCTTGGACGAAAAATCAACCGGGTAATCTGGAAAACAGTTAATAGAATGATATTATAAAGAAGTGGGAAGAACCAAGAAGAATGATAACACGCATAATTCGAGACTGTAAGGTGGGCAATATAGACAGAGACTACATAACCAGATCCTAACGGCGAGTGTGGAAAAATACAAACGAAGTTCCCAATATTATCAGAAGGAGAAAATATGAACGATTTTGTGGGACAAAAACTGCGATTACGATTACGATTGTGGAGTTTTGGGAAAAATAAGGTTTAAAAAAAAATTTATTTTTCCCTTGAAGAAAAAAACATTTCATCATGAATATGGTAACATCTTATGGTATACTTATAAGAAATCATTTTAATATTACAGAAAAACTGCACCAGTCACTTGAAATATGCGTTCATGTCCAAGTTGTATTTCCTCCTCTCTTTATCTACAATATCCTATCCTACCCTTTATTTGTTACTGATTTATTATCATCTGTCATCCTTAATCAGCTGTTACGTATTCTTATTGAGAAGGTTAGGTTAGATTTGCGTGGTGAAGTGTGACACAAATTGTCGACAGACCCTCAGCCTTAAGACATATTCATGTCAAAAAGAGAAGAACAGCCAATCATTTTTTGAAAATTATTTGAAAGGAACGACGAAAACGTCAGTAACTTTATTTCTACGACGAAATAAACAATCAATATGGTAGGTATAAACTTAAAATTTTTTAACGTAAAATAACAAAAAATAAAATATAAAAACATCATTGTAAAAACAATACCTTCTCAGCTCCGAATCGAAGCTAAAATAGATACTGCTCAGAACTATTTAGTTTAAATTGATAAAAAGTATTTTTAAGTTGTCAACTAACCGGTAGACATTGATTTGTTGGCACTAGAAAGCTGACTACCGTCGGTGGATTTTTCTCCACTGATAACCGTGTCGTCGTTCACTTTTCGCAATTGTTTTTTGTGTTTCATACGGCGATTTTGAAACCACGTCTTCACCTACACAGACATTGTTTTATTTACAATGTTTACATCATATTTGTTTATGTACATTGTTTTCGGTTAAAGTACACGTGGTAGTCGTTATAAATTTATAAATTTGTTGATAACTTTCTAGATCCCAGTGAGAACTTCGGGAACACTGTTAAATAAGGTACCTACAACGTTTCCCAATTTTGTAAATTATGAAATTTTTTTAACATGATTAATTACATTTACCTTAAGTTTAAGTTAAAATTTAAATATTTTATACGTTTGCATAAATAAAACTAAAATAAGTATAAAATATTTGTGTAGAAGGTATAGTAAAAGTGGACTTGACCCATTTCTGTAGTTAGAGATTCAACTATGGGTTATGCTACCTTACGTATTTAGAAAATAATTATTTTCAATTGTATTTAGTTTTTGTTTACCTGTGTTTCAGACAGTCTGAGTTCGGTAGCCAGTTCGACTCTTTCGGGTGTGCTTAGATATCTTTGCACTTCGAATCTTTTCTCCAAACCGGTGAGTTGTTGGTCAGAAAATACCGTTCTGGCTTTCCGTCTGCGGCACAATCTTGAGCTCAGTTGACTATGTCCGTAGTCGGCGCGTGTAGCCCATATATTACTAAACGGCAGGCCTAATATAAAGTATTAAATTATTGTTCTTTGCTAGATAAAAGGATTAAGTTTTGAAGTAATACTATATGATAATCAAATTGCATCAGGTTATCAAAATGTATATATGCCGAAACCATTTTAGTTATCACATAGTTAACATCAAGTAACCTTCCTGGAAACCTGCCCAGACGTCTTAAAAGTAAATGAAGGGCACAGGGGAAAAACGGTATTTGTCACATTATGAAAATTTTAGAGTATAGCAAAAACAAAGTTCGTGAATTCCTCTACCTCTTACATAAGAACAAAAAAAATCACATTAAATGCTACTCTCATAATAAATGTATTAATTTAAACAATCTGTTGACATAAATAAAAAAAATTATTGGCATAAATTGAAAAAAACTATTTGAAAAAAAAATTTCATAATGTGACTACTACCGTTTTTCCCCTGTGCCCTTCAAATGGTTCGAGACCTAAGGTATTAATTTATTAAATATTCATTTAAACGTGTTATTCTAGGTATTTCTTTGTGAGATTTCCTACCATGTCACTCACTGTTAATTTTTATTTACAGTTATTTTGCTTATTATACATTTTTTTGTACAGATTGTAAAAAAAAAAAAAAAATACAAATAGTCATTATTATTAAAAAAAAAGCTTAAGTCTGTAGAGGTAGTACATAAATCAAATGAAACAATCGAATAAATAATGATATAATTGAGAAAATTAACCCTACGTTTGGCGGGTGGTCTACAGTTGAAGACCAGTTCCACTTGGTCACATTGTGACTAAGGTAAGAAATGTTCGCCAGTCACATTTTATTTAAGTGTGACCGAAAATCAGGTGACTAACGGAGAGTTAAATCAGGTTCACCTAATTACGGATAAGGTTGATAATTTGTCAGTAGTAGTTAAAGCTTGTATAGGTAATACAGCTCATAACACTATGTATGTATATATGTAAAAATGTGTAAATTAAAGGACAATACATTAGTGTGCAGACCTATATAGATACGTTTCCTTCAATGGTAATAGTGTATTTAATGAAATTGCAAGACTTTATTTTTAAATCTATACATGTATTGATGTGTTTAATGTTTTCTTTTAACTCAGACTCAGAATCTTTCACTATGAACTATTAAGATATCAATTCATTGTATTAGTACAAGATTATTTAGGTTTGAAATAGCGAAAAGCCAATAGCTTTTTGATAACTTAATAAATTGCACGGTATTAATGACTCGTATACTTATAGTAGATTCTAAGATCTAGTCATGGTAAAAAGAGACTACGGTGTAAAAATTCCTCATTATATGAAATCGAATAGTTATTATACATAACATAGGTAATTCGATTTTTATAGGAAATACAATATAATTTCTTCGATTAATGATTTGATATTTTAATTAATAATAACAATTGACGTATGGTCGTTCAAGTTACAGTTACAGTTTATTCTATGTTCGGCCTCCTTTTACTTAAATTAGATAAAGTTAGTTAGTTTCATTCAAAGCGCATATAAGGCATTTTTTTAATTCAAATTTAGAGATTTTTTCCTTTACAAATACATTGTGTAACTCGAATCTCCTCTCTGTCATTAAGATAACTTGTAAAATTTTTAAAATACAATTTCGTAAACTTGCTTTTATATGAAGCAAAGTGATACTTAAATAGTTTATTAACATTGTGCAAACTATTTAGTTTAGATTAAAGCATAAGATTAAATTTGCTTTTAAAACCAAAATATAAAATATTATATATACGAAAATACAATTTCGTAAACTTGCTTTTATATGAAGCAAAGTGATACTTAAATAGTTTATTAACATTGTGCAAACTATCTAGCTTAGATTAAAGCATAAGATTAAATTTGCTTTTAAAACCAAAATATAAAATATTGCTTATCAAAAACCAGATAATTCACAATTTTGTAATTTTTCAGAGGTAAAAATAAAAATATATATCCCATTATATAATGCATTTTGTAAAGTCTTTGCATTAAATAATTAGCACCTAAGAGTTATCTTGTTTTTGCACCAAACCCTTCATTTTTATTCACAAAAATGTCAACATACCTTGGGGTGTGATGAAAAATGGTTCTGTAATGGAGTTTTTGTGCATGTAGTGTGTTGGATAAGATAGATAAGGAGAAGCCATGGTTGATGGTAACATTGAAAAACATTCTGGGCTTCGTGGCATTTGATGTCGATTCCTTTCATGACTTGCTATCTGAAACTAAACAGGCAATTAATTATTATTTAGGTATAGTAAATAAAAATGTCTACGGGCTATGGGCGAGAAAATTTCTAATGTGCTCATGGTTTGTTTCTGTTCATCCTAAGAGGCGGCTAAAAAATATCTGGACAAGTGGACAACAATACCTCCAGTACTGGCGATAGATAGGTGCTACAGTAGTGGGTACAGCTAAAGATTACAATAGTAGGCCATCTAAAGCTTCTTATACACTTCGAAGCGGATGGCAACTGAAAACCACACTATTACCATTCTTAGTTAGACTTAATTATGGACCTGGCAGAGAAAAAAATAAATCGGAAGGTAAAAAGCTCTCAAATTGGGTATTAGGGTATTAACTGCCCAGAAATCTAAAGAAGAATGAAATAAGACGAGAGAAACAATAGAAACTTAGAATATTATAATTTATGACAATGGTTATTAGGTTGGAAAATTAGAAAAATTAAATTTGGAATAAAAAGTTTGAGAATATAAATACCTACGGATATATTAAAATGTTTTTTTAAAGAAAATAATACACGGTGTAAGCGCGTAAAAAACAAAAGTGAGCAAATACTACTTGATGCCAAATATATTGAACAATGTTCGAAAGAGTATATAGAGGACCTGTGGATGATATAGTGTTAGTGGGGGAAAGTCCCTTTAAGAGAAAGGACTGAGTATTAGTAGGAGTATTAGTGTTTGTTATAGGGAAAGACAGGTAATGCAGATGGGTGATGATGAAGTGTGTGAGGTTGATAGCCGATAGGTTTAAGTACTAAGGATCGGTAGTACAAAAAAAAGGCGGGTATGAGGAGGACGTGAAAAATTGGATAAATTAGTGGATAGATTAAGTGGAGGGAAGCGTCAGGTATTTTGTGCGACAGGAGAATGCCTACAAGATTGAAAGGTAAATTTTATATGAAGGTAGTGAGGCCAGTAATGTTATATGGGTCGGAATGTTAGGCAGTAGATAAGGAAACTAAACAGAGAATGAGTGTAGTAGAGTTTAGAATGCTAAGATGAATGAGTGGAGTGACTAGGGAGATTTGAATAAGAAATGAATACATAGCGGGAGTCTAGGAGTTGTATCAATTGTGGGAAAAATGAAAGAGAATAGGTTGAAATGGTTCGGCCACGTTATGAGAAGAGATGAGGCGGAGACAGTGAGAGTTGTTATGAAGATGAATGTAGAGGGAAAGAGTGGAAGACTGAAGAAAAGATGAATAGATGGAATATAGAGTAATATGAGGGTAGTTGAGATGATTGAACGAGATGTAGGAGATTGAGCTTTATGGATGTGTAGGACTAGGATTGCCGAGTGTAGTTGGGAGTGTAAGGCGAAGATGAAAAGAAAAAGGAGATGCTTACTATATAAATAATATGGAGATTTATTATTACAGGCTATATACAATGGTGTTTTTGTTTCAGTTGGTGGCTGGTCCATTTGACGTTCTTATTCTCGTCAAAGTATATTATATAGGATAGAGTACGATGTATAAATGCTATTACTTTGTGATATTTTAGTGTGTATATTTAAGTTTTTTAAGCTGAAAACAAATCAGATGGAAGGGATATAACTTGTAATATCCGGGTTTTTTTTTAGTTCTAATTCAATTTTAACCAAAATTTATTACATCTCTTCAATTATTGAATATATAATAGGTAACAATATTAATGAAACAAAAACAATATTATGATAATAGTAGAATTTGATTTAAAACAGAATTATACGGGGTTATAATTATGAATAAATGGCAATTGGCAACCCTAAGATAACGAATTTTAAACTCAAGTAAACAAATGTTAATATTTAGGAAGTATAACAACATCAGATGAAAGATGCCCAGAGAAAAAAACAAAAGAAAACTGGACAAATTAAATAATTATTTATTAAGAAAAAGAAAATTATGATTACCTATAGTAGTTATAATAACTATACTATTATATTCTATTATTATATAACATTATAAGAACTTATGTATGAGTGTGGTTTTAAATGGCTATGAAACGTGTGTGATAAATGTAACAGAGAAAACAAATTCCTAGACTTTTAGAGTCTTAAGACCATTATGATGTGGCGCTAGAGATGTACGGAGAGAATCATCTGGCCAGACAGAAAAACTAAGAAGAGGTTCTGGCTCAGGTTGGGGAAAAAAGAAATATTATAAGCTCAATGAAGTAAAACCAATTAAAAAAAATTACCATATTTTATGACATGGGAAAGAATCGCATCGCATACTAGTTAAAAATGCTGTAGAACATTTGCCGGACGATCTAGATATGCATATTATGTCTCACTATTTAAAAAAGGGTTAATACTTACTTATGTTTAACTAAAAAGGTTAGTTGAGGATATGAAACAATGTTTTACATTAAAAAAATGGTCGGACGTAAAAAAATAGTAAATAAAATACCACAACCTGAGAACTAAATCAATAAATTTATTTAAATAAATAAATATTTACAGCATGTTTTAAATAGTTTATACAAGACAGGAAACAGTGGCACTAGATTAATAATTTAATTTGGAAACCACAATCATTCATTTGAGCATAGTCGACGATTATCGTAATATTATAATATTTAACTATATATCTTAAATACATACAAGCTAATTTATTGATACTAACATAATATAGAAATTCTAAAGAGAAATGTGCCTTTAAATTAAATTGAATTGCGGTAACGCTTTTCGCAGTACCTATTAGATATATTCGGGATCAGTGAAACGTATTATTATTTTTTATGTATTTACTTATTTAGATTGTAGTTATCAGTGTAATTTACTACAGTTTATAATATGATGGTTTTTGCTTTTGTCGTTTAACGGACAAAGCAGTTTAGTAAACTGCTTTGTCTGTTAAACTGAGTTTACTTGCTCATTCTCGCTGATTTTATTTTTATGTTACAACACGTTTTAAATATACATTTATTTGTGGTTTGTACTTCCTAAAGTTTAAGGATCACAGATCGTATTGTCAATAGTCCGTATTTGGTCTTTTTAAAACTTACTCGAGATTTGACTTTATCTGTGCACAAAGTTGGAAGTTCACTCTTTTTCATAGTGAATAGTATTTTAAATTTGATTATTAACACATTATCTATACGTAATAATTTTGGCGACTTATATGTACCTATATACGATATATTTTTCATGTATTTGGATTTCTAACGTCCCCCCAATTAATCAGGACTTGTGTGAGGGGAACCAGGGGGGCGAAAACGTGTCTTTGGCAGTGTTGGGGAATTAAATTCGGCTCCGTATAGTACGAAGTATAACGCCTTATATCACTGCGCCACGCTACACACATTGCGTTATAAACACTAATAACTATAAGTATAATATTATGATGCATACCTCGGGGTTGGAACGGTTGTTTTTCGACCGGAACAATATGTCTTCAATGAGAAATGACGTGGAGTGTCCGGGTGAGGATTTCCTCTGATTTTCTGGCATCTTGCAGCGGTCAAGCTAGTTTGCCCAGTTATGCAGTGCAACAGGATTTTCTAATGACTGTGTTTTGCCTGTTATACTGCAACAGTGCGTATCCTGGTTAGCCGGTTAACGTCGACTGTCCCTCGATAAACTGACAAATTGCTCGGTGATTTACGCGGCACTTATGCGGTAGCCCGGCAGCATTGTATGTGTATCGTCTTGGCGCTTACAGCACCCCTTCGCGATGCCCGTCCCTCGGCCGCGCCCCATTGGCCTCATCGATCGACGTCGGAATCGCGGCATTGGTGCTTCGGTGGCCATACTGGAATACCAGGAGGGTAGGACGCGCTTTGTCGATATGTATGTTTTATATCCATAAACAAGTTTGGATTGCCGGCAATTAGGTGGGTAAACGGGGGGGCCGTAACGCCGAGACGGACGCGGAGGTAGGTTGTCATCTGCAGGGGCCAGGGAGGACTTTTGGTGGAGGATGTAAGGTAAAGGCCGGAGAGTGTGGGGCAGGGTAGTCGAATGAGGCCTTTGTGTGTCGTTATGAGATACTCCGACTGAATTAATGAACGCCAGAGATAAAGAGTAAAATACGGTTTTTCGATTTTCAGTATACATGAAAAACTTTAAACGCTTTCCCCGCTTAAGCACAATAATGGTGGGCACACTTATACTCATCCGTCAGCGCTGATCGAGTTTTAACAACGATAAGGCCGCCGTTGTCATTAGCTCGTACTTTCCGTTCGTTAAAATGTCTATTAAAAACTACTTACCGGCTCTGCCTCAACAATTTACGTATCACGGAGGCATTTTGAAATAAATAACTTATTAACCTGCTCGTTTTGCCATTTATTCATTTTAGTATTATTTCAACGAATATCGCATTACTATACTGTGTATACAAAAATTAATGCATTTTTATTCATTACAGATGTATCTAAAATCACGGTTCACCACGGTATCATTAACAAAGTTAATGTTAGCTTTGTTATAATTAGCGGATTCGTTTATACAATTTTATATTATTAGACTGTTGCTGATTGCAATTTATTGTGTACTCATTAATTACAATGCATTTACAATAATTGCTAAAATCGCATTCATCAATCTATAATTAAATAAACCCGTAGATGTATAATGTATTATGTAACTATAGATTTATTATATTCGAGTTAAATATAATTATTTAAATTTAATCATATTTAAATTATACTACTTATTTATATAATTTTAGAATCATAAGTGGACTAATATTCAAAATTGCAGAGTAGATCTCATTTCATAGTGAAATCATAGATAATTCGGAGAATACTATATTAATATTATTGATTTTTTTTATGATGTAAAATGGGAGAGTTGTGCACATAGTAAAATCTTTTGATATTTAAAGTAGTGATGGGAATCCGAAAATCCGGATTTCCACAAAAAAAACGCTATTTAATCTACTTATATATAAGTGTTAAATCATTTTACAGTATAAAGCTATGTAGCTAAGTAAAATATTTTTGATGAGCATTTAAAAATAAAACAAAAAACCAAAAAGATAAACTGCTTTTGGATTTCGAATTTGTTAAAATCCGAAAGCATTTTATAGACAAAGTTGAGAGTTTTTTTTAAAAATTTTCATTAAAGCATTTTACTTAGGAACGCATTTTTATATTGAATTAGTATTTAATATGTATAAGATTTTCAAGTGGCTTAAATAGCGTTTTTTTTAATAATCCGGATTTTCGGATTCCCATCACTAATTTAAGGTAATATATCTTTTATTATTTTAGTTACTCTTATATTATAAAAAAAGTCATAATGTACAATGGTCGTAGTATACAAGGAAAAGGCAGAGGAAAGGTTATTTGTATGGTATACTCCACTTGTATGATATAAGGCAGAAAATATAAAATGTATGTTATCAGTACTTGTCGATTTTAGGAACTACCAGACGTAGCTGTCAACTTTTTATTATTTTTTTATCAAAAAATAGTTGTCAATAATTCAAGAAGCTGTTCCTTTTTAAAATAGGCTATTTAGATTTCATCATAAGTTCACGCTAGATAAGGCTTAAGTGGGCTTAGCTAGTTTTGAATTTAGCAATCCTACTATTGTTTACGTTTCAAACATTAAGCTATATCCACCTTTCTATGATAATATTATGTTAATATGGAAAATACTACTCTACTAGTATGCGTGATTATAATTAGTAACTACAGTCTACACGTAGACGACCCGGCCTTATTATAATAGTATAACACACAATTGAAAGAAAACGTGCTTAAGTTATACCTACTAGCACAGTACTTGATCATGGTACAATAGATCGTTTTAATTGCATGGGAACGGACCATATAAAGTGTGATAAATAACACATAAAAACATCTTAGCGCTACATTTATCATTAAGTACAATTAAATTTATTAACACACGTCTTTGTAAACATTAGTTTTATCGAGTGTTTTACCCGAGCATTCCGTGCTTTATCACTCTCAAGTGAATATTTAATGAACCTCTAAGGCATAAGGGGTTGATGTTGGCACAATGGACGACCGTGGTTCTCGTTCCGATCTGCTATCTTCGCTTGTAAATAAGTATTTCGCTCATTGTCTCTCAATTAAAATGCGCCTGAAAAAACATTTTAGCCTATTCAAACGTTTAAATTTTGAAAACATTTAATTATCAATTATCACCATAGGCGTAACTAGGTCTCTGAACTAGGGAGGGGGCTACAGTCCTAGCTATTATTTTCCAGAATACTTTCGAGCACTCCCGTGCGCCCCTCGTGTACAGTCACCTTTTATCACGGGCCACTCCATCTCTCATATGGGTTTAATAAGAAATACAATTTTTTTTTTCATGTTGTTTTTATATAATGTGATATCAATTTTTCACATTTTTTTTTACCCTCTACTAACTTAGTTTTTTTGATAGCAAAACTTTTGCTTTTAAATTGAAAATAATGTACTAAACATTTTGCCTGGTCGATAACCAGTTTCGAATAACTATTTTTGAAGTTATTAAAGTTTCATTAGGGAAGGTGGAGTGTAGAATTTCTTTTATCTGCGCGCACTTTCCAACCGCACTTTCCCTCCAATCCTAACTCCTGAACTTATAACTATAATACTCTTATAACTATACATATATATTTTTTAATTATAAAAATAAATAAAGTAAATTATAATTTGAGTTTACAATCATTTTTATAAAATTCATTTATTATATTTACTCAATTTTTTTTTTATTAAATACCTTTCATTTAATGCATAATACAGATAGCTTAAAAAATCTACCTTGTGAAATCTTTGAGTGAATATAGTTACGAACGCAACGCATTACTGAAAAGGATCTTTCACAGTATACTCCACTAATTGGTACAGAGAAAGCTAAAAAAAGTATTTTATAAAAATTAGGAAATTTCAATTGCTCAACGATATCCTTAAAGGGATTGGATGAGGGTGGTTTTTAAGGGAACTATATAGGCCATATTTAAGAAAAAAGTGGTTTTTAACAAATTTCGACAATATCAATTTATTTTCAAGTTAAATTGTATAAGCTTCAAGGTTTAATTTTTAACTTATACGCTTTTTTCTACGAGTAAAAACCATTTTGTTTCTACAAGCAAAAAATTTAGGCCTAAAATCCTGGCAAAATTACACATATAGTAGGTATACTTAAAATTAGAACGATATGATTTTAATTCTATAAAAATATTCATCGTCTTTTTTTCCAGGTTACCGTGGAAGTCAATTTTTAATAACTGTTTCATTTGCTTAAAAAATACAAGGGGTGAACACTACAAATTTAAGCGGTACTTGTGTATTATACGGACCTCCCCTATTTACATTATTATCAAAGAGTAATTAAATTAAACAATCCATTTTTCAAAGTAGGCAAAAGTTTATATAATAAGGAAATAACGAAATAAAAAATGAATCGGTGTCCTTAACAGATTGTCAAAAATCTGCGATGTTGTCGGCGAGTAATACATCAAACACATCGTTGCCGCTCTCGGTTACTGCTGAACACCACATATACTTGGCCAAATTGCCCAAGTACGGAATACTTTCTAATAAAATAGCTCCTATACTAAGTGTAATCAGACATGGATATTTCGCGTCTGAAAACCAAATATGTTACCTAATTATTATTATGATTTGTATAGCCTATATATATATGCGATATAGGCTACAAAACGGATAAGACATTTAGTTTATTATCAAGTTATTAGCCAAATATGTTTAAACGCGCTATTAGCCACGTTATTCAGCTCGTTATTTAAGCGCATAATATTTTAGCTTTTTTTCGCGCATTTATAAACAGGAGCCTTGTTAATAACACTATACTATAATAGAGTGTATATACGTGACTGTATGACAGCCGCTAATTGACAATTTTGAGGTTGCCATTTAGAATAAACGGCGGCGTCACTCAAAGGTCATGTTTTCAATAGCAGATGTAATCGCTACCAGTATAGCTGACATTTTCGCGGCAAGTGACTTTTAAATCGGATTTCCTATTATTGACATCGGGCTAAATTAGTTTTAAATAAATGTCACTTTTAGCTTTAATATTAATATTAAGTTGGTTGGCGACTTTAACATTATGTAAAATCGTTGGAAATTTAAGTTAATGCCAGAACTATCAATAGCTTATAGTAATAAATGTTCTATTTGTTTAACTGATTCTGGAATACATACTTTATTCCTTAATTATAGACTACAAGATTCCATTGACAAACTTACAAAATGTACAAACAACGTCATAGGTCATATGACGTGTTCTGAAAATAGATAACATTAAATCTAATATTACATAATTTTGCTTCCTCAAAGAGGAAGCTATGGTTCCCTGGAAAATTTGTAATTTAAATTCGGGATGGGAGTAAGACCATAATGTATTCTATTGAAAATAGACCAACTTGGCATTCTGTCCGTGTATAATATGTGAGTATATTATGTTGGTCTGTGTAATTCCTGTGTCCGTCGAAAACAACTATGCGGATTCGAATTTTTGCTGTTATTAATCAAACGTTATATCTTTTAAGTTTACTGCTTGATAAGAGATTTTTTGATCTAATTTAGCACCGCTTATTGGTCTAAAGTGCATGAAAACTAGTTGTGCTCCGATCCCCTTAAGGGGTAGATTTACCAAATTCTCACAATGTATAGAA